GAAAACTTTTTTACCAACTTAATTTTTGTATCTGATACACCACGATGAGATCTTAACAAGTGTACTCTAGATGGTGTTGCAAGTGGATGCGTATGTTCCTCAATGAAAGTCTTAACTACAAAATTGAACCCATCATAAACTACTGTTAACTTTGCTTTGCAATTTTCACGAACATTACCTCATTCTCTTTCTATTTGTGTAGACTTACTATCTTTTTTTTTTTCTCCACGTCTCATCTGTTTCACCTTCCTTAAAACAAACGTATCGTTTCCAAACAACCTCACCAGTTTCTTTCTTTTTCTTCTCCTTACTAATTCTGACACTAAATCTAGCATCCTTTGCGTAATCATTGTAGAACTCATATGTTTCATCCAATGACTTCAATGACAACCCTGCTTTCGGTTTTTTATCATCTCTAACTTGAGGGATATAAAATTCATCTTTAGAAGACATCCATTCATCTAATGCATTTGCCATCACTCCTGCACTTAAATGTACCACAAGAAAATTAGTACAAACATATGTAATAAACAAAGGAAAAACTCGAATGGAAGAAATAAATAAATGAAGGTCTGGAAAAAGAAAAAGAAAAAGAAAACAGATTTTCACATTTAATCAGTAACAAACAGCATAGTTGCAAGAACCCCAGAATAAGATTCATGTTTGACAAAGGAAAAACTCGAATAGAAGAACCTCAGTTGCAAGAACCCCAGATTGAGATTCATGTTTGTTCCAGTAGTTCCAAAATAAAAAATAACACAAACCCAATTGAAATTCCCAGATATGGGTTCATGATTTCAAATCCGAAAATTGAATGAAAAAATTGAAGAAGAATAAGAAACTGACCTTGTTGCATATGCGTACAAGGAATAGTTACAGTAGTTCCAAAATAAAAAAATAACACAAACCCAATTGAAATTCCCAGATATGGGTTCATGATTTCAAATCCGAAAATTTAGTGAAACAACTGAAGAAGAATAAGAAACTGATCTTGTTGAAGTGCGAGGGAATGAGTCGCTCTGGATTTTCGCTCGCTACGCCGGAGTCGGAGTTGTCGTGGCTGCAGAGATGGGAGGAAGCATAACGTGGGGGCAGGCAGCGTGAGGAAGAAGAACAGATTTTGGGTTTTTAATTTTTAGTTTTTTCCTTTTTTGTTAAGTGAAATTTAAAAGGTAAAAGAAAAAAGATATTTTAAAGTAAATTTTTCTTAGCCCTTGGATTAAATCTAATGGTGGGTGACCACAAGTCTCTTGGACCCCTGTGGTCCAAGAGAACGGGACTGTAATTAACTTTACTAATTAGTGTTTGAGACATTGGGCATTTTTGTTTGGGTTTTAATACTTAGAAAAGAATTGTTATTTTGAATTAGGCCAAAGAGGAGGCCGAGATTCGTTGGGCCTATCAAAATTATAAAGGTAAAATACAATTTACCCTTTTTGTTTAAAAGCCTTCCGAAATCAGATCTCACCCTTTCATTCTCTCTTGGACAGACGTGGCACAGCAATTGCCTCAGATCATGGCTTCTCGGGCCACCGGCGATGACCACTGGTAACAAGTAGGGTGCAGTCTATGTTGTTATGGTTTCTAACTTTTATATGGTTATATATCTGATTTCTTTCAATTTAACAGACTGGTAAAGTTGCTTGAGGATATCATGGATGGCAGCAGAATACTGATATTCATGGATACTAAGAAAGGATGTGACCAGATCACTCGACAGCTCCGCATGGATGGTTGGCCTGCTGAGTTTAAAAGTCAAGCAAAAAGGGATTGGGTCCTCTCTGAGTTTAAAGCCGGCAAGAGCCCCATAATGACTGGACTGCAACAGATGTTGCTGCTCGTGGTCTAAGTATGGAAATAATTTCTTTTAAGTTTGTCAAAAGACTTGAAAGGAATTCTTGTTTTGTGTAAACTTAGGAAAATGTCAAACCCCCACCCTGGACACCATTTCATTTTAGACTGTATCGAGTCCTTTCTGTTCTCATTGATCTGACCTATGAGGATGTTATCAACATGATTGTACTGAAACAAATATTTATTATACGTTAGTTTGTTTAAAACTATTACCATCCACATTTGGTTGGATGGTAGTTTTCATATGAAACCTATCCTTCCTCCTCTTAGGTTTTGGTGGTAATCATCTCTGCCCATGAATAATTGTTTCCCTTTGAGCCAGGTAAGGTTTTAGCGTGCATCGGGGATTTGCCTTTGGGCTTTGGTAGGCAAAAACTTCTAACAATGGGGCGCATAGGTGTGTTAACCTATAAGAATTTATTGAATGTACTTAACCTAAGAATTGGTCTTCGACCTCGTTTCTAATCCCTTTGTGTCGTGCTTGATTTGGTTGCAGATGTGAAGGATGTGAAATTTTTTATTATCATGACCTACAATTATCTGATGTCAAGCAAGGGAACTCAAAATTGGACTTTTGGAAATTGCATTGCAGTTCTCATTTAATTACAATTGGATTTTTGCTCTTTCCTTGGCCTTCAACCTCACCAATTTGAAGAGTAGAGACTACCCAGATGAGGAATTGGGTGGGCAATAGAAGAGTAGAACTACCCAAGAGCAAGGGAACTCAAATTGGACTTTTGGAAACTACATTGCATTTTTCATTTAATTACAATTGGATTTTTTCTCTTTCCTTGGCCTTCAACCTCACCAATTTGAAGAGTAGAGGCTACCCAGATGAGGAATTGGGTGGGCAAGAGAAGAGTAGAACTACCCAAGAGCAAGGGAACTCAAAATTGGACTTTTGGAAACTGAATTGCTAGAAACAGAGTATTTTACCAACATGTCTTGAATAAAAAAAAAATTGTTTTGTTTTGTTTAACTCTAGAGCTGAGCATTTTTGCCCAAACTCAACATTGCAAGTTCCATTTTTGTATTGCAATTTCCGTTTATGCATTGCAGTTCCTGCTTCTACATTGCAGTTTCCGTTTCTGAATCGCAATTTCCATTTTAGTACTTTCATCTTGGTTCCTCCATTTTGCTTCTATAAAATTAATTTTTGTTTTTGTAGTTCTTTTTGTTTTTGTTTTTTTTAAACATAATTGATATCTACATTGTATTTTTGTTGCAGTTTCTGTTTTTATTTGCAGTTCTTGTGTGAATATGTGTTGAAATGATTTTTTTATTTATAAAAAAATCGTTGATTGTTTATATAAATATTGTATAACCGAATAAATATTTCAAAACCAAGTTTGGTGTAGTGGTTTGTGACTGAGCCTTTCTCCTTTGAGGGTCAAGGTTCGAGTCCCTTCAATGACAAAAAATCTTTTCTTTTAAAGGTGAAGAAAGGGCAACGGAGTTGGTCCCCTGCAGACAGCGATGGCGGTTGGCTGGCGGCGAGTGGTTGTGACAGGTCGGCGACGGTGGGTGGTCGGCAGCAAGTGGCTGGTTGGTGGTGGTGATTGGCCGGATATGGAAATGTGGCATAGTATGCTTGCCTTTGAAGGAGTGGCATTGTGTGTAATTTTGATATTTTTGTAAAATGAGGTACTACATTTTGGACTTTGACCTTATGCTAATTAAATGAAATTGTATTCCTATCTTCCAAATTATTAAATCATATTGTGTTTTAAAACTAAAGCTCCCTTAGAATAATGTGTGTACAAGAGACTATTTGAAGGAAGATTCGTCATAATTGTCCAGCATTATTGACTCGGTCAGTATTTCAAACAATTTCTTACTTGCACTAAAGTTTAATCGGCACAACACAGGTGTCTTATAAAGGAGAAACACTTGCCTGCACCGGGGATAGGAGTGTGCAAGCAAGTTTTTTTCCTTATAAAGACGTCATCGACAAGAGTTCTTGGGCTCCGATTTCTCGGCCTGACACATAGTATTGTATAAGTTAGTGGTGGTGGGTCCAGTCCATGGCAGCCCCACTAGTAAAAAAGCGAAAGGGGAGTCTGTTAAATTTGGGCCACGCAAAAGGTAAAGCAAACAGCTAGTCTGGTCTGCCACAAAACTCCCAATAATTTCAAAACCCCGCTTCAAAGCCCCAAAACAAGCAAGAAACCCATACCCCGTGGCCCACAGCCGAATCCAACGCTCACAAACTCACCCCGTCACCAACATCAACAACAACAACTGCACGACCTCACGAACACGTCAGCACGTGTTCCCCTCCCTCAAGAGAAGAGAGAGTGAAGTCTCACAAAGCTCACTGAAGCATTTAAAACGCACACTCCAGGACTCAAAGCTCGCAGCCGCGCACACTATAAAAGCCCAAAGCTATTGTCCGAAACCCTAATTTTCTCTCGCGAACACTGTTTTTATATAGAAAGTCGGTGCTTTTTTTCCTTTTTTTTTTGTTGGGAATAAAATTGATAAATAAATTTTCGGATTGAGTTTGGAGGAGGCGATAATGGAGGGCTCGAGAGGAGAAGAAGCGCAGAAACAGCAGGAGTTTGCTTTGGCTTCCATTTCTGAGCTTGCGTCGTCGTCTTCTTCTTCTTCTTTGACGCCTGCGGTTGCTCGGTTTAGCGCCGAAGACGGAGTTGTAGAGCTTCGATTTCAGCAGGAGGCTGAGTCCGATGCTCGCGTCAATGTCGATCTTCAAACTGCTCAGGTTTGCTTCTGTTATTTGGAGTATGCTTTTTTTTTTTTGTAACTGTTGTTCGGTTGGCTGCTAAGGAAGTAGATAAAAGAATAGAGAGTGAACCTCTTAGTTTAGCATTGTAAGTTTAGAAATATTTGGTTTCGTTGTTTTGTGGCTGCGAGCATATTTTATTCACATTTTGCGAGAAGTTCATATTTTCCTCGCTAAGTGTTCTTATGCGAGAAAAGTAATTCCTCCCTGAAAACATTAACCAACATTATGTTGCAGTGTTGTGAGAGGCTGATGTCAACTTGTTCTTTTAATTATTATTTATGACTATTTGGGATTTATTTTCTTTATAAAAAAAATAGAATATTAAAGAAATTGAAATCATACCCATGTACATGTCACGTGATGTAATTTAACAGAAAATTTAACATAAATTAACAAAGCTGTCATAATAGCGATGAACCGTAAGTCTAGGTGGCAAATTGTAAAAATTATATATATATATATATATATATATTGGATGGTAATTGCACACACCCTTAGAGCATTTCCAGCGGCTATACCCAGCCCTATCAGGATAGGGCCGAGCCCAAAAACCAGCTTCTAGCGGGCTTGTAAAGCCCGGGCAGGTAATGGGTACCACCGGGCTGGCCTTTAGGCAAAACCAGCCCTTGCTCTAGCTTGGGTTTATGTCAGCAACAACAACAAAAAAAAAAAAAAAAAAAAAAAAATCTAAAAAGAACTAAAAATTTCAGAATTTTTTTTAAATAAATACTTAAGTCATATTTTTCACTTCCCACACAAAAACTCTATACAAATTCATCTCCTCATATCTCGTGTGAATAGTAATTGGATAATATTTTTCGTTTTTTTACCTAAACAATTAATTTGGATAATATTTTTGGATAAGATTTTTGGGTTCCTACATGTCAATATTTATTATAAAATTCATATTTCATAATCAGATAAAATTTTCGAATAAGATTTTCGAATTCAAATTTTAGATAAGATTTTCACCCTCTAAAGTCGCGCCATGTGTCATCTCTATTTGCCTAAATCTTTCTATAAAACCAGAGGCTCAGTTGATACCTCTCACACCAGATATTCTCTATATTTTCATTTCTCATATTTTAGAATTTATATTCCATTCTCAATGTCAGACATGAGGATATGCTTGGAGAGGCAAGAGCGAGAAACTAATGAAAAAAGGCGTAGATGAGCTGAAGAAAAAGAGTGCAGAGAGAACAAGATCCACAAGTTGCCATAGCAGTGGCTTTGCTTGATCAAGAAAGCCAAGGCTGTCGCCATGGTTCACAAGCCGGTCGTGGCCCGAATGTGGACAAACATAGGCATTCTCGGGGTAAGAATCTTTTGGAAGATTATTTTATCCCAACTTATTTGTACTATGATGTTGATTTTCGAAGGCGATATAGAATGCAACCTCATTTATTAAATAAAGTCATACATGATTATGATGCATACTTTATTCAAAAGTGTGATGCTGTTGGGCTTTCGGGACTTCTTCCGGAGCAAAAGCTTACAGCTGTTATACGAATGTTGGCCTATGGTTCATCTGCTGATTAGGTGGATGAGATTGCTCGGATTGGAAAGTCCACTACTTTGGAGAGTTGGTATGATTTTGCGATGCAGTCGAAACTCTGTACACCAGGGACTACCTGCGCAAACTTACGCCTAGGGACCTCTAACGGCTTCTACAAAAAGCCGAAGCTCGAGGATTTCCGGGAATGATTGGTAGCATCGATTGTATGCACTAGCAATGGAAGAATTGCCCAACTGCTTGGCCAGGAGATATGGAAATAGAAAAGGGCAAAAAAGTATCATCTTTGAAGCCGTTGCTGGATTCGGGTTTGGCATGCCTTCTTCGAAGTTGCCGGATCTCAGAACGACTTGAATGTGCTGGGTCAATCCCCGGTTTTCAGTGATGTCTTGAGAGGTGAAGCCTCGAATATCAGCTATGATATCAACAATACCGTCTACTTGAATGAGTATTATCTAGCAGACGACACCTATCCGAAGTGGACCACATTTGTCAAATCAATTCCGAATCCCCGATCTCAGAAGCAAAAATTATTTGCTGCATATCAAAAAGGATATAGGAAAGATGTCGAAAGGTGTTTTGGCATCCTCCAAGCTCGGTGGGCAATTATTAGAGGTGCTAAATATATGTTTGATGAGGAGGTGCTGATGAGCATTATGATGACTTGCATCATCCTCCATAACAAGAATTTATGAAAGGCCCATGGGGCCAAATGGGCAACCATTGGAGCATGAACCGTTGGCTAGGGACGGTCGTTTCATGACCCGTATGTTTTTTTATTTATTATGCTTTGGTTGTGGTTTTTCCTTTTAATTATATTTTGTTTGATGTATGGAATATGCTGAATAAAAAGTTATTTTATTGAAAGCTTTGTTTATTAAATAAAGAAATGTTTCTTGCATTTTCAATATTTTGTTAATATTTCTTGCATTTCCAATTTTTTTTTTTAATGTTTCTTGCATTTCCAATATTTTGTTAATATTTCTTGCATTTCCAATATTTTTGTAATGTTTCTTGCATTTCCAAATTTTTGTTAATATTTCTTACATTTCCAATATTTTGTTAATGTTTCTTGCATTTTTAATATTTTTTAAATGTTTCTTGCATTTTCAATATTTCATTCCAATGTTCCTTGCATTTTCATTTTTTAAAAAATAGATTATGCAAGCACAAATGTGGTTTGGTGCTATTGGGCAAGGCAAAAAATCTTTCAACCATGACAAATGTTGGGAGGTGGTGAAGAATTGTAAGAGATTCCGACCAATGTGTCCGACCGTTGTGTTGAACGAGACGCCACTCCATGATTCATCGGCATCAGATTCGCCTTTGGATTCCCCGATGAGTCAAGACTCACCCATCAAAAAGGAGCCGAGGCCTATTGGTCGAAAGGCAGCAAAGGCGAAGGTGAAGAGAGGGATTAATTCTAGCAATAATACATCAAAATTTTTGGAGGAAATTGCAAAGCACAATGCCATGAGAATTGAAATAGACATGAAAACCCAAGCGGATGAGAGGTCAATTCAAGCAGAATATGCAAAAGAAAGGGAGTATGTACGCAAAGAAAACATTGACAAGCAGGATCGGGAAACCATGGCCATGGATACAAGCCATATGTCCCCTGAAACAAAATAATTTTGGAAGTTAGAACGAAGGGATGTTATGAGAAGAAGACTTTTCCGTGACGATGGACCTAGCAATACGGATTAGTTAAATGAGCAAAACCAATAAGTTAGTTTGCTTGCCTTTTATTTCGTTGTATTTTAATGTTTTGTATTAAAGTACTTGTAATTCATATATTTTATTTAATTAGTAGTAATTCTTAATGGCTTGTATTGGTTTTCTTTATTTAATAAACAAAGCTTTCAATAAAATACCTTTTTATTCAACATATTCCATACATCAAACAAAACATAATTAAAAGAAAAAACCACAACCAAAGCATAATAAATAAAAAAAACACAACCAAACCATAACTAAAAATAAAACTTAACCAAAGCACAAATAAATAAAAACCATCAACACAAACCCAAATTAAAAATTCCGAATGTTGACTTCACTTCATTCACCTTCATTGTCTTTCACCGCCCATAAATGCTCTATCAAGTCAACTTGACGTCGTTAATGAATATAAGAAGATTGCATCTCCGTATATCGATCAATCATACGAGTCATGAAACAACCGTCCCTAACCAACGGTTCATGCTCCAATGGTTGTCCATTTGGCCCTATGGGCATTTCATAAATTCTTGTTAAGGCTGTGTTGACGGGATTTGGTTCGAACACGTCCTCTACATCATAATCATACTCATCTTCCACAATCATGTTATGGAGGATAATGCAAGTCATCATAATGCTCCTCAGCACCTCCTTATCAAACATACGCGCAACACCTCTAATAATTGCCCACCGAGCTTGGAGGATGCCAAAACACATTTCGACATCTTTTCTGTATCCCTCTTGATATGCAGCAAATAATTTTTGCTTCTGGGATCGGGGATTCGGAATTGATTTGAGAAATGTAGTCTACCTCGGGTAGATGCCGTCTGCTAGATAATACCCATTCCAGTAGACGGAATTGTTGATATCATAGCTGATATTCGGGGCTTCACCTCTTAAGACGTCGTTGAAAATCGGGGATTGACCCAGCACGTTCAAGTTGTTTTGAGATTCGGCAACTCTGAAGAAGGCATGCCAAACCCATGTATCGAATCCAGCAACGGCTTTTCAATGATAATACTTTTTTGCCTTTTTCTATTTCCATAATCTCCTTGCCTGACAGTTGGGCAATTCTTCCATTGCCAGTGCATACAGTCGATGCTACCAATCATTCCTGGAAATCCTCAAGCTTCGGCTTTTTGTAGAAGCTATTGGAGGTCCTTGGGCGTAGGTTTGGATAGGCAGTCCCTGGTGTACAGAGTTTCGACTACATGACAAAATCTTACCAAGCTCTCCAAAGTAGTGGACTTCCCCATTTGGGCAATCTCATCCACTTGATCAGTAGATGAACCATACGCCAACATTCGTATAACAGCTGTAAGCTTTTGCTCCGGAAGAAGTCTCAAAAGCCCAGCAGCATCACACTTTTGAACAAAGTATACATCATAATTGCAAACATCATGCATGACTTTATTGAATAAATGGGGTTGCATTCTATATCGCCTTCGAAAATCAACATCGGAGTACAAAGAAGTTGGGATAAAATAATCTTCCAAGAGATTCTTACCCTGAGAATGCCTATGTCTGTCCACATTCGGGCCACTACCGACTTGTAAACCACGACGACGGCCTTGGCTTTCTTGATCAAGCAAAGCCACTGCTATGGCAACTGGTTGATCTTGTTCTCTCTGCACCCTTTTTCCTTCAGCTCATCTACGCCTTCTTTCATTAGTTTCTCACTCTTACCTCTCCAAGCATCTCCTCATGTCTGACATTGAGAATGGAGTATGAATTCTAAAATATGAGAAATAAAAATATAGAGAAGATATGGTGTGAGAGGTATGAGCTGAGCCTCTGATTTTATAGAAAGATTTAGGCAGATAGAGATGACACGTGGCGCGACATGAATTTTGAAATTTGAAACCGAAAATTTTATTCGATTATGAGATATGAATTTTATAATAAATACTGACACGTAGGAACCCAAAAATCTTATCCGAAAATATTATCCAAATTAATTGTTTAGGTAAAAAAAAAAACGAAAAATGACTAGTATTTGCCTTTTGCCATAGCAACGGGTGGAAACACACATTGCTTTTTGCAAGGGAAGCTACTATTCACGTAAATAGTATCTGCCCTAGCCCCCTCCTGGCCCTTTGCCATGGCAAATGGGTGGAGTTGCTCTTAGAGCAAGTCCACCCCTGCTTCAAAACCGGTCAAAAGGCCTCCCAGGCCAGCCAAGCAGGCCTCCAGCGCGAGAGAAGGAGCCCGGGCAAGCAGTGGGTTCCACCAACCCTGGCAAGCCCACGGGCCAATTCAGCCTTCACGCGCCAACAGTAAAAAAATTTGACTTCCGCTCGCAGATGTTAGCGCTGATAGAACCCAACGGAAAAATGCCACGTGGCGCTTCCCGGGCGTTGCGATGGTTTTTTTTTCCAAAAATCCGACGGCCCTCGTTTTTTTTTGCCAAAAAAATTCGATTTTTGTTTTATAAAATTACCAAAAAATACTAGATTTTTTCCCTATAAATACCTATCAATTTTATTCATTTTGCACACCAAATCTTCATACAAACTCTTCTCCTTCCAAAATTTTTTCCATTTCACTCACATTTTTCTACTAGTTTCTATTTGTATAAAAAAACAAATGGCCTCTTCTGTCGAAGCCGGAGGCGCTTGGACTACTGTGGAAGATATTGTTTTGTGTGAGTCTTGGGTGAAAGTTAGTCATTGCCCTTTGTCAGGCAATAAGATGAAGTTTTCTCATATGTGGAGAAAAATTCATGAAGAATTTGCTGATAGATCCAGTTCGACTCGGACGGAAATGGCCTTGCAATCCAAGTGGAAATTTTTGAATAAAGTGTTAGGGAAATGGAGGGATGCCTTGGCAAAAGCCATGGACAACATTCGAAGCGGTCAAAATATTACTGGTGATGTAAAATATTTATTATTCTCGTTTTATTCAATTTTACGAAACTTTTTTTTTTTCTTGCATATTAAATTTATATTTTCTTCCATTTCTAATTTATTTATATTTTGTTGCATAATAATTTTTTTGCATGCATTTGTAAATTGTTTATATTGTCTTACATATTTATTTTTTTTGTTGCATAATCATTTTATTTCTTGCATTTCTAAATTGTTTATGTTTTGTTGCATAATCAATTTTTTTCTTGCAATTCCAAATTATTTATATTTTCTTCCATATTCATTTTTTGGTTGCATTTCCAATTATTTTTTTTGCATAGATCATACAAGCACAAATGTGGTTTGATGCCACGGGGCAAGCCAAAAAAAGTTTCCAGAGTCACCAATGTTGTGAAATTGTGAAGAATTGTTCAAGATTCACTGCTCCGACGGTTGTGTTGAATGAGACGCCGCTCCACGATTCGCTGGCAACCGATTCGCCAATGGATCAAGACTCACCACTCCCACGTGTGCCGAGACCTATTGGGAGAAAGGCGGCAAAGGCAAAGAAAGGGAGCACTTTGAACAATGAATGTGCACAATTTTTGGAGCAAATTGCTAAAAATAGTGCACTGAGACTTGAGAGAGACTTGAAAAGAGAAGAAACGGACAAGGCACGACATGAAGCATTTGCAATTGAAAGGCAGCAGGCACAAGAACAAGACATGGAGGATAGAGAGATGAAAATCATGGCCATAGATACCACCCATATGTCTCCTGAAACAAAGTCCTATTGGAAGATGAAACGAAGGGATGTGATGAGAAGAAAACTTTTCCATGATGATGGACCTAGCAATACGGATTGATTAAATGATCAAAACCATTAGGTTGGATTGAAAGATTTGTCATATGTATTAAGAATTGTTGTATTGTTTCCCTTTTATTCAATAAAGAAAGCATTAAATAATATGACTGTTTATTAAAAATATTTGCACATGAAAACAAAGTTTAATTAAAAACAGACCTTATTTTATTGCAAACAACACACGCAGCGAAGCATAATTAAAAGCATAATTAAAAACAAAGCATAATTGCAAACACACCACACACAAAAGAAAGCAAACTTGAAAACAAAGCATTAATCTTGACTTCATCCATTGTGATTGCCTTTCATCTCCCACAAGTGTTCGATCAAGTCAACTTGACGCCTCTCGTGGAC